GCGAGAGCACCACCAGCGTCAGGGACCTGGGCAGCTGCGGGGGTGGGACGTGGTCGCCTCAGAACACCTTGCAGCTGCAGAGTGGGGGGGTTCTCCATTGCCAGCTGGTGTTGCTGGAGAGCGGGGGGGGCTCTCCGTCGGCAGCTGCTGTAAGGCGGGGGGGGCTGTCCCTCGGCGGCTGGTGCTGCTGGGGAGCGGGGGAGATATTGTGATGGTTGTGATGTCCTGACAGGCTGGCCTCAGGATGCAGGATCTTACTGGAACAGCATCTCGGAGGGGGTCCTTCGAGCAGCCACCGTTCTTCCCCTTCATGCTGCTGGTCTGCAATGTCCTGGAGGCACCTAGGATCTTCTTTGTAGTCATTGTCCAAGAGACCTTCTGTGGAGCAGCAGCAGTGGTGGTACACGGTGCAGCTGGGGATGTCTCAGGAGCAGAGAGAGGATTTCCTTCCAAAGTACCAGCAGCAGAATACATCTTCAAAGCAGCATCAATTTTTTCAAAAATGGCAGCAGGAGAATCCATCTTCAGAGCAGGTGTTGCAAGTGTTCATCAAAAGAGATTAAACTGATGAGAACAGACACTACACTTTGAAACTTGCAAGCAGCTAATTGTGTTAGTACATTCTAAGACAGAGTCTGTTCTCAAAGCAATTCTTTGTAACAACAACTACTCACACAGAGAGAGACTCAAAGCAATACTCTGTAAAAACAGAAAGAGCACCCAGAGACTCCCCGCCCTTTTGTTGTATTCATCTTGCTTTGTTAACAATTATGATTAAAATAGAGATAGAGGATGTATGTGGATGGATGCTTGGTGTGGATAATAACTGAATGATCAGGGAGGTGCCAGCCTAAGAATCCAGTGTCCATCGGCTGAAGAAGGCGTCAAGTGGAAATAACCAGAGGACCCCCGGAGGGCAGACTGGAATCCACCCAACAGCCTCAAGGATGGGAAAACCAAAGAACAAGATAACATCTGGCAGCACAGAGCCGTCAGGAGTGTGCCATCTGCTGACTGATTCAGCAACAGCATGATGAAGCAATTCCCACAGACTGGCATAGGAATAAATTCCTATAAAAATGGACTCTAGAAAGTGAGAACTTTGGGGTCTGATTCTGCAAACCAACTTCCAGGAGCATCAGGTGAGCATCTGACAAGGCCCTGCTCCGTCCTCATGTCCAGGCCACCTGGCCAGTGGCTTGGCATGAGCAACTCTAAGGCTGGTAACTATGATAACAACCTTGCAGAACCTGAGTGTGTGTGTGTGTGTGTGTGTGTGTGTGTATGTATGAATGTGTGAATAAATATGAAATTGAATGGAATGTTATAGCTATAACTAACTGCTTACTATGATTCTTTCTATAGTCACAATAATGTGGCATTTTGCCTTTTCCCCTTTAATAAGATCCTGCTGGTTTTTATTTTATTGGTATAACAATATAAGCTCCTATTACCCCCACTCCCTGTCCCGATTTTTCACACTTACTGTCTGGTCACTCAAGCCCTGACATAGGTTTGGCTCAACTGACTGCTGCGAGGACAAGTGCCTTCTTCTGCTGATTAGAGAAAAATCCACGGTCACGCTGAGGTCATTAAACATATTGTTGAAACCACCACAAACACACATTCACTTGTACTCAAAAACCTGTGAACTGAACATTTGCAACTCATCCAACTAAGAGACACGAGTCTAGTGTCCTATCCAGTTGGGGGAGTCTACATAAATAACGTGTGTGTTAGTACAGAAAATAGACTTTGATTCTTTATTTGTATATTCTTTTACCAGATATTCTGTCCATGTAAAATTGAACACCAACTCAATTTACTTTGAAAAACCATTTCAGCCTAACCAGTAGATGGCAGTTATAGCTTATATGGTACTTAATGCCTGTGAACCCTGGTTCATCACCCAGCACTCTTCAAACCCAATTTTAAACCAGCACTGGCTTGCATGCCCAGTCCTGATAAATATATACTAGCAATGTTCATGTTTATCTTACACCTTCTTTCTACTCCCCTTATTTTTCACTCCACCTGAGATATTCCTTCAGTTAAAAAAAAAAATAACTTGACTTATTGTGAAAACACTGTTTCCAAATACAGCCAGTAGTTTGACAGCAGAACTGTTTTTGGCCATACATCAATTTATCCACTACAGATGACTGACAATCTTCACACACACTTTCCACTACACTTTCTTCTTAATTACACAGAAAATACCATGACTGTTGGAGCACTCTCTTGGGAATGTTGGCCTCCCAACCAACTTACTCCAAATTTTTGATATCTCACCTTTTCTTTCTCTCGAGTCAAAGAGTCACTTTATTGTATTTCTCTATAGTGATATTATTATATAGACAAAGTCCTTCTTCCTCTCTCTGATCTATACCCCATTTCTAATCTACTCCAAATTATTAAAATATCACTGTACTCTTTTTAGCAAACGCCTAAAGTCCATGGCTAGGTTAGTGACTTGTCTTAGCCAGGTTTTTTGTTGTTGTTTTAACTACCATCAGTATAACTTTGTATTTAAAAAACCCACATTCAAACCTAAATATTCAAACAAAACAACTTTATTTAATAAAACAAGAGGTCTACATGTGGGCTACAAAAATGATTAGAATCATGATGTTGTTTATGTTGACAATTAGAAGTGATCTCCTCCAAATGAGAGTTAAAGAGAACAGGATTATTTAGTATGGTAAAGGGGAATTATGTATGGTAAGAGGAATTATGAGAGAGTATATAAAGTCATGAATGGCAGAGGTGGTCACTGAGATGGGGTACACAGACCCCACACTGACTGAAAAGGGTTAATAGTGAGAGCCTGTGAGCCCAATCAGCCCCACCCCATTACACCTGTGTAAGGCATCAAGCCTGGAGGGAGGAGATAAAGAGGAAAGGCTCAGCTCAGTAAAATGTGACTGGTAGAGGGAATGCATTTCCTGAGTTAGGCTTGTGAAGGAAGGCCTGGCTAAGATCAATGCCTCTTTGGGGCAGCTGGGCCTGGTCTGGTCTGGGGGACCTTTTGGTTATCATAACTAGTTTGGTTCCCCTTTTTGGGGATCTGAAGAAGAGACTAACGAGATAGGACTAGTAAAAAGCACCCCAAAGATATAGTAGAGGATCTGAACAAACAGACCTTATTTGCTTCGTGCTGGAACCCAGAGTAGAAGGTGGGCCTGAGTTCTCTAATGACACCCCCTAGGGTGTGGTGTTAAGCTGCTGGAGTCAAGGGCTGTAAGGTCCACAAATCCCGAAGTTTGTGCTAAAGTTCTGGTTCAATGTTGCCAGACTATTGGTGTGTTGGGCTTGGTTTACCCTGGAAGGGGTAGGATTAAAAGTGACCTGGCTGGAGGGCCAAGTCAAAGGAAGAGGCACTCCGTTACAGTATTGGAGTGGCTGTTGGCAGGGGGCACCAAAGAAGAGGCTGCTATGCCACCCAGCCACGAGAGACACTCCTATGGTGAGTAGACTCTTCCATAGTCACTAAAGCACTATTTGTCCCATAGCAAAGGAATGGCACTTGGAATTAGACTGGAATGAAAATATTTTTCTTTATCTCCAGTCATCAGACATGGACTCTGCTTTTGTTATTCTAGACATGGTGCTTATACTTGAGATTTTGTTCTTCGCTCTTTCCTTATCTTCCCCTCCTTTTTGTTCATTAGGTTCGGTTACTGTGGATTAGCTTTATGTAGGGCTTGGAAACAGTCAGACTAGAGCTCATGCTAATATTCTCTGACAGGATATTCCACAGTAGAGCTGAGCAAATAGTTGATTTATTTTGGTTTGATTTTATTCTGTTTGCTTACTGAAACGCGTTTTTGGGGTTTTGAAAATGTTGAATTGATTTGACTTTTCTCATTTAGAAATGCATTTTTTTTTAAATGATCAGTTTCAACATTTCTGAAATTCTTGTTTTCAGTTTTTTTTCCTCAGCCAAAGCTATTCATTGAATTCAACACAAGAAACCAGCAAAAGGTTTCAGTGCATTGAAAAATGCTGCTTTTTTTTTTTCTTCAGGAAATTTACTATTTGCCAAATTTTTCTGCCCTGCTCTATTCCACAGCCTAGCAGTAGCTGCACCCTTTGCTTCTACTATTTCACTCTGGACACAGGTAGCTAATGTCTCTGATATTCACTGTTTTGTAGGCAGTGAAAAGAGAGGCAGTCTCTAAGGTAGTCTGGTCCCAGTCATCTATGTGCATTAAAGATCAGCATACGATAGTGCACAGGGAGTCAACTGAGGACTTAAAATATTTGGGCAGTATGCCCTCAGTGGCTAGTCCTGGTCAATCAATAGGCCACCATTGGTTTTGACTTCATGTCTCTGAGGGTATGTCTGCACCGCAATTAAACACCTGCGGCTGGCCGGTATCAGCTGACTTGGGCTTGCAGGATCCGAGCCAGAATGTCTACCCTGCAATGAAACAACCCTATAGCTGAGTCAGCTGACATGGGCCATCTGCGGTTGTTTAATTGCAACATAAACTTTTCCTGAAACTGCAGATGTTACTAAAATTGTATTCATTGCTCACCCCAACAAGCTTCTCAGTTAGAAGGCTGCTTATTTACTCCTATAACCAGAGGCCTTGAAGGAGGCAGTAAGCCAGTAAACAGCCACTTGGGGGACTGCTGAGGAACTATTTATATTTTGGAATCTAATAATCTCTTCTCCTCCACTGGGCCAAACAAAAAATTCTAGTTACTACAGCTCTGTCCCAGTTTTTACTATGAATATAAAAATTACAGACCAGAATTCTCATTTTTTCCAAAAGAACAGATTTTCTCTTCCGAAAACTGGGTTTCAGTTAAGATATTGCCTGTAAAAACATAATCTGATGTTTATTGGACAATGCACCCCTACTTGATTTACAGCATCCACAAAATATTTCCTTCTTTCTGAAATAAGAACTGGTCACAAACTCACAGGTTCTTTGCTATAGCATACTATAAATTATTATTCTGTGTTAAATACTTATTGTAGGAAGACTTACTGTTCACAATGTCACCTTGAAGTTGAAGAATCTGTGGAACAGGTATTGTGAGAACAACTATGTCAAACTGTTCTGGGGATCCTGTTTTCTTGCAGACCTCCCATTTCCCCCCTCTGAGGCAGATCTGTGTTACATGGTGTTCATAGAAGACATCTGCACCTGCTTCAAAAAAGAATAGTTTAATACATACAATTCTGTATCAGATAGTAGAGAACATGCATAATATCAGAATAACTTCCACAAGTAATCAAAACTATGGTCCTGGTCCTACAAACAGCTAAGCATGTGCTTAACTTTAAGCACCTAATCTGTCCCATTTCCATCAGTGGAACTACTCACATGATTAAAATACATGCCTAAGTGTTAGCAGGACTGGGGCGTAAAAACTTAATGAATTATGATCACAATTATAACAGATTTGCAACATCAACAGATGAAAAAAGTGTTAATATTAATAACTATCTCAACATGGAGAGGTAGAACACACACTAAATACTGTAACAAAACCCTCAAATTCCACTGCTTTTCAAAGAAAAACAGCAATGCTGCTATGACAGTTTATATCAGCTTGGTTATCTGCTCCTTAGTCTTTTGTAAACAATTCTAAATATAGTACAGCTTTATATCACAAGTACATGTTCTGAAACTGTTTGTAACAGTTAATAAATCTTCCTTTTCAGCACCAGGCTTTACAGTCAGTTGATAGATTCCCAGATCATCAGCTGAACACTGTTTAAACCAATACTATACATTAGTTTAAAAATTCCAAATTCTGGTCAGATGCAGTTACTCCAGATTTATGTGACTCAAATTTCCCCCTAAACCTCTCACTCAAGGTATGATCCTACTCCCACAGAATTAAATGGCAAAATTATCATTATCCTAAAGGATCTGGACTATATTGATAAAGCAAAGAGTGCAAATATAACTTTGGCCTCCGATCCTGTAAACACCTAAACATGGGCATAAATGTACACATGCCAGCAGTCCCATTGAAGTTAACAGGACTGCTCACTCAGCTGAAATTACATGTGTGTAAATGCTTACAAGATTAGAGACTTGGTTTCCTTGGTTTTTAAAGTTTTGCAAATTAGACGTTACCCATTTAAACATCTTCAAGATGTCAGCATGAAATATTTTTATGAAAAAGAATCTAGTCTTTTTCAGCTTCAAATAGACTGTATCAAGCCATATCCATTCAAAATGCTAGTGTGCCATGACAGATTCCTAAATTCTAAGGCCAGAAGGGACAACTGTGATGATCTAGTCTGCATAACCCAGGCCACAGAACTCTTTTGAACTAGTCCATATCTTTTAGAAAAAACATCCAATTTTGACTTCAAAATTCTCAGTGATATGAGAATCCACTAAAACCTTGGACACTGTTCCAATGGTTAGTTACCTTCACTACTTTGTTTCCCATCTGAATTTGTCTAGCTTCAACTTCCAGCTGCTGGCTCTTGTTATAACTTTGTCTGCTAGATTGAAGAACCCATTGTCAAATACTTGTTCCCCATGTAGGCACTTACAGACTCATCAAGTCACCCCTTAATCCTCACTTTGTTCAGCTAAAAGGACTGAGTTCCTGGAGTCCATCTCTATAAGGCATGCTTTCCAATCCATCATGCGAAGTCTCACATATACAAATCCTACACTCAGCTACCAAGCTTCCTTGACCAAAGGACATGAGAGCAGTGCAGTGTCACTGCATTCAGACCCCTTTCCAGAGGGTATACTAAGCCTGGGGTGCAAGGGAAAACTTTCTATCACATTCAAGTGACAGTAGTTTCAAGAGGTGGGTGGGAGCCTGGGTCACTCCTTGTTGATCAAAGGAAGGATAATTATCGTAGAGTTCTTAATTACACAAGATGTCTAAAGACTACCTGACTCTGTTAAATAATGCTTGACAATTGAAGAGATTCCCTGAGGTGTCACAAAATTGTGAGATCCTTCTTCCATCACCATGCCTTCCACAGGGGCAGTCAATGGCTTCAACACATCATGGGCCAGAAGGTCCTCGTAGAAGCTAAAAATCAAACAAAATATACATGCTAACTATCTGCAAGAACAGTAACAGCAGCATTAATTGTTAACCATAGCAATTAGACTGGCAATTAGACTGGCATAACACACAAACTATATAACCTTTGTCTTCTATAATATATTCAACTGGCGTTTGAAGCTGAACTATATATGTTTAGTATTAATGTATTCCTAATAATTACATAAATAAAAATGACCTTATATTTACTTTTCACTACTTCATAAGGACTGGTCCCTTTCAAGGGAAAGACAATATACCCACCTAGCTCTCCCCATTGCAATCCTGTTGGAAAGTTTCACATCAGTTGGAAATTCTGACTTACTGTGGCAGGAAGATAAATGATGTCTGGAGCTAAAAGTATTTAACTTACTGCCCACTTTCCTTCTCTTGTGAAAGCTGTAGATCATGTCAGAGCTGGACTTCGAGTATCTTCTAACAGGTGCAATTTTGCTTCCTCTGGTATTTACAAAAGATGTCCTGTACAGTTTATCATCAATTACCTATCATTACATTGTTGGCCCACTAACCCAGCTCCTAAGGATTTATTGTAATATTCCAAACAAATGAGCAGCTTCAAACAGTCACCCCTATTTTAAACAGGTTTTTTTGTATGTTTTCTCCTTCTCTCCAAAATATTACCCTGGCCCAGGTAATAAATTTTTTTTTTATAGCAGTAAAGGCATCAGATCTTTAAAGTCTGATATTTCACAGTTCCATAAGGCAAGAAATAAAAAGTTTCATGCCACTGGAAATCAATGATTCCCCAACTTTCCAATTAGACTCAGCCACTATCTGCCTTAGTTTTCCACAGCATCTATCATTGTAAAATCTAAGTACTTCCCTGGTACATTAGGTCTGCATGGTTCCTAGTAGATTGAGACTTCTGTTCTTTGCCCTGCGTGGTAGTCAGCTCTGTTTTGGGATAGATATTTGTGTGTGGTTTTCCCCTTTCACCTCTCACCCCCAAATCTGGAATGGTGGAAGGCCTTGTTAAAGAGGTTTTGCAATGTGCGCTAAAAGTGGTCAAACTCTGGATTAGCCTGACCTCTTCTAGAAGCTTGTTCCGCAGCTGAACCCCTCCCTTTGCAAATGATGTGTGTCTGGCTGTGACATGCTTGCTTTGCCCTCAGCTTTCTGAGCTGTATTTTTTTCCAGTTGTTAAGGAGGTCTCTGACAGAGAACCTGGGCCTTGAACCATTGACAGCACGAAAGGGCCTTGACTTGATAATGGAAGGCCTTGACTTGATAATGGAAGCGGATTAGGAGTTAGCCGAGGTAGCACAGCAGAGAGGTGATGTACTCATGGCAGTCTGGACCACTAACAAAGCAAACACTACAGTATTTTATCCAGGCTGGAGTCTCTGCACTGTTGCTATTTTCAGATAAAGTGAGCTACGTTAGCCTGGATGGATCTCTGTGGTCAGATCCTCACTTGGAAGGACAGAGTGAAGAGCCACTGGAAAAAGGCATTTTTTCACCATTTAGACCCTTGAGACTTAGGCAAGGTGCCAAGTCAAGCAGGGTCCCTAAGATAATCAATAAGATGAATACCTCCAGATGAGAGAGACATAACTTAAATATATTAGACAAGCTATCATTTGGAAAGCAGTGTAAAACCATTTTAATGACACCTGATATGATGCTTTCTTAAGATGGGAAGCAACATTTCTATAAAACCTGTAGAACTTTTCAACGAATATGCTATTGCTAGTCTGATGGCACAGTACACTCTGTAAGTCTGAGGTTTTGTTTTTAATTTTCAGTAGCCTAGAAGGAAAACTGGACAAATTCCAAAAGTTTTTCTTGATTTTTCACATGTAATGCCTCTGACTCCAATCAGGATACAGACAGTGTATAAAGTAACTCAAGGCAGAATTTGGCTTAGAACCCCGCAACCCGAGCCAAACTCAATGGGAGAAGTGTCAGATCCAGATCTGGTCGGAAAACAAACCCACCTGCTTGGTTCGGCTCTTCTTATCCTCATTCCTGCTGGCCACCTCTACCACCCTGTGCGCTGTGTGTGCTGTGGAGTGAGTGTGTCGGAGTGGCAGAGTCTCTCATTCTGCAGCCAGCCATGGTACAGCAGGGGTGATGAATGCAGCTGCAATCATACCAACTCCAGGGCCAAAAGTCAGCAGTGGTGATTCAGGTTTGGGGGGCAGGGTCAAATAGGCTTGAATTTGGGTCAGGGCCTAAAATTTAAGCCCAAGCAAACCTCTAATTGGTTCTCTGTATTCTATTCTGCCATCCAAAACTATTCCCTTAATTGTGCTACTTAGGTAGGCCCAGTTCTGTCACCATTGTTTACACCAAGTGGTACCTCATTCCTTGAATACTTTCACTGTGATTGGTGGAATGACTGGCAGACTAGTAAATTACCACTCAGCATGAGTAAGAATGACAGAAGTTTACTGAACTCCTGGAATGCACAGCATGGCAGGCAAAAGGACATGCTTCATGAAATTTAATTGCTTTCTTACTACTGTTTTGCATCTTTGTCTAGTGAGGACACTGCTGAGGAGTACATGCAGTTTGATTATTTGTTACTTTCCCAAGGCCAAACTACAACAGACTTGAACATAAGCAGTCCTATTAACTTCAACTATGTGCATGAATAAGACAATCACAATACAGTCCTGGTCCAGTGTTGTCATTATAGTTTATTGGACCCATTTAAGAAATTTGTTACGCTAAAATACATGCTTTCATTTGATGACATTTTGATACTTAAAAACTAGCAGGGGTTGTTCACATCAAACAAGTGCTACTATATCTAAATTAATATCTACGCCACATACTTGTAAATCTGCTAATTTTAAAATGTCAGACTATTTTAATTTGAGTCTGATCTTCATTCCACTTACCTACAAAATGCACTAAAAATAATGGCTAAAACGGTCTCTTGAATTCAATAATACAATTACTTTAACAGTAATATTTCAAATCATATAAAAAGGTACTGTCAATTTATGTGCAGCCTGAAATTTAAATACTGTGAATTGATTTTTTTAAAACCAACTAATATATATATACACACACACACATACTTCTAAACAAAGCTTCCTCTTGACCAGCTGGTTTAAGACAAATAAACCCTCCTCTGAAATTTCAACTGTGAAACTTACTAAAAGTGAAACTTACTAAAACACAAACGAAACTGACCTCACAGATTATTTTTAATTGTCCAAGATGAGAAAACTGCAGAAAATAAACAAATCCCATAAACAATGACAAGGGTGTTGTTAGTAACCCATGTAAGAGAACGCTATAATATATAACTACCCTTTGCCAGCTGAAAATTATTTTTAAAGGATCAGTGTCATCACCTGTACGTTTGTATCCTAGACTGGGCAGTGCACCATAAAAAGATGACGCTCGTTCGCTTGTTACTTTTCCTAATCCTTTTACAGCTGCAACAGCTTTTCATTCACCACCTCACCTTTGATGCTTTGGGGCATAGGCGGGCCTAAGCGTTATGTACTGTGCTCCCAGATCCGCTGTACAGCGAGGGTTGTGCGGGCTCCTGCTTGTACTCATTCTTCCTCCTGGGAACACGGAGACGTGACTAAAAGAGGGCCAGGCTCCCCCACATATACTGTCCCCGGACACAGTTAGCGCCTAACATGGGGGGGTTACAAAAATGACATTCCAGCAGGATGTTTGTATGTCTGGTTCTGGCCCCTAGGGGCGGTCAGCGCCCCAGTTCTCCAGTCCTCCAGGCGAAGCCCCCAGAGCCCTCGGCTGGCCTCCTTCCTGCACAGCTGTTCGCTCTTGCTCAGCACATGCTGGAGCCCCAGCCCCGCTCAGTAGCCTGGGGAGGAGAGTCCCTCTCTCCGCGCCTGTCGTCAGGCCCGACTGGCAGCTTTGCTATGCTGTGCAGAGTCTCCATGGGGCACTGCTCACGTCCCCTCCCCTGCGGCATGCGAACACCCGGGCCCTGCGCTGACCCGGGGCTGATGCCTGGCTCCGAGCCGGGGTGCCATCCCCAGTGCTTATGCGCCCGTGCCCGGGGCTGATCCCTGCTCCCCTGTCCCCGTGCATGGGCGGGGAGTTGTCCGGCCCTGCAGAGGCCGCTCTGCCCGCGGCAGGGCCTCACCTGCGTCCCGGGCTTTGTCCCACAGCACGATGCGCAGCGGGCGCTGGGGCAGCTCTCTCCGCAGCAGCGCAGCGCACAGGCTGCCGGTCAGCCCGGCGCCCACGATCAGCACCCGCGCCATGGCGGCGCCGGCCATTGGCCTACACGGAGATGTGACTAAAAGACCGGCTCTCCCACACAGACTGTCCCCGGACGACGGTAGCGAGCCTGCGCTCGGGCGGCGGGCCCGGGCTCCTCCCGCTGCTGCTGCGGGCCCAACCAGCGCGGTGCCCGGCGGAGCCTGCCCCAGCCCCGCTCGCCTGCAGGGGGAGCAGCCGGGCCGCTGGCCCGCAGTGACAGTCCAGCGCCACCCTGTCGGAGCCGGCCCCCAGAGGGCCGCGTACTAACGCTGCCTCTCCTGCCTGCCGGGGCTCGGGGGGGGACGAGCTTTCACAATGGGGCGGGGTTCCCACTGCTTTGTATCCATGGGCGAGCTCTGTCACGTGCGCACACCAGAGACAGGGACACGCACAAACTGCATATGTGTACCCCGTCCCCGATAAACCTAGATAAACAAATCCCTGCCCAGCACGATCCGTACACACGCCGCATACATATCTTCCTCTCTCTCCTCCGGCCCGCCACACTCCCTCTACAGGAGTCAAACGACAAGTCAGCTAATTGAATGCCCAATCCTGCAAGTGACTCTGCATGAAGAGACTCCAGGGTGGCAGGTTTGTAGAAATTTTGGTGATGCCCAGAAGCCGCCCCCGCCCCACTCCACCCCCCACCTGTCTAAGGCTCTGGGAGGGAGTTTGGGTGGGGGAGAGAAGGTCTGGGGTGCAGGCCCTGGGCTGGGGCAGGGGATTGGGGTGCAGGACGGGTGAGAGGTTGGGCTCTGGGATGGAGTTTCGGTGCTGGGTTCAGGCTCTGGGGGTGAGGGGTGCAGGCTCTGGGATGGAGTTTGGGTGTAGGCTCTGGGCTTGGGCAAGGGGTGGGGGTGCAGGCTCTGGGAGGGAGCTTGGGGATAGGAGGGGGTGCAGGCTCTGGGAAGGAGTTTGGGGGGCGGAGAGAGGGGGTGCAGGCTCTGGGAGGGGGTGCAGGGGTGCAGCGCTTACCTGGGGCTCCTAGGCAGGGAAGGCGGGGAGTCTCCATGTACTGCTACACCCCAGCTTCCCATTGGCTGCAGGAGCGCTTGGGGCAGGACACAGACCCACCTCACCCAGGGGCTGCAGGGAGGGGCTGGCAACCACATGGAGTGAGTAGGGAGGAAGCCGCTCAGCTCCACTACGCTGCCCCTGGTGAGTGGGGGACCCGGGCTGTTTTAAATGGCCCCGGGGGGGGGGGGCAGAAGGTGGGGCCGAGGGAGACACCCGGACCCAAACATTGCTGGAGCCAGGCCCAGGGCCAAGAATACAAAAATATTCCTGGTGTCCAGGCACCACAGGCCCATAGGATTTGCTGCCCATGACATCCTATAATTTTCAACATTTAAATTAAATTCATAATTTAGAGCTATACAAGATCAGATATTTTAATTTCTTCCTTAGAAGAAGGCCACCAATAATTATGATACTAAAATTCTTTTGAATTGCATATACTCGGGAAAGTACTGTCTCCATTTATATATGCATTTCAATGAACCCTTTTAATTGCCTTAAAATATTTCTCCTCAGATTAATTTCTGTACTATTAAAATGATGTTAAAAGATTGTTAAAGTCCAATGATTAAGCACACTGTTAGGAAATGCAAATGTACTATAGAATATCATACAATTGTTTCATACAACCTTGTAAGTCACATCTTGTGACATGTAGTGAGGCCTTAGTCCTGCAAAGCACTTTAGCAAGTGATTAACCTTTGGGGCATGGCTACACTTGCAGGTGTAGAGCGCTGTGAGTTAAACCAGCCCTCGAGAGCTCAGGAGGGAAAGTGCTGCAGTGTGTCCACACTGTCAGATTCAAGCGCACTGGCGTGGCCACATTAGCAGCTCTTGCAACACAACAGAGAGCAGTGCATTGTGGTAGCTATCCCAGCATGCTAGTGGCTGCAACATGCTTTTCAAATGGGTGGGGTGGAGCATGACAGGGAGTGTTGTCTGTATGTGGGGGGAGGGAGAGTGGGTTTTTGGGGGGCTGAGAGCATGTTAACATGCTGTCTGGTAAATTCAGACAGCTGCAGATCCCCTTCCCTCCCCCCTCTCTCTCACAAACACTCTCAACAACAGCATTCCACAGTAATTGCTTTCCTTGTCCCGGAGCGGATAAGCATGCCGGCTGTCAGAAATGGAGCTTTGAAAGGGCATAGCCGCATTCCTACAGCTAAGTTCAAAACAATGACAAGAGTGGCCACTTGACTTAAGGGGATTATGGGACTTTTCTGGAGGCCGAACAAAGCGCAGTAATGCAACACCTCGTTCACACTGACGTTGGGGCGTTTCAGCCAAGGCACAGCAAGCGTTATGCTTCTTGTGGAAGTGGATTACCAGGAGCACTCCAGCTGCAGAGTCCAGGCGCTCTAAGTGCCGTGCCAATGTGGACAGGTCGTGAGTTAGGGCACCTGGGACTGCTTTAATGCGCTCTAATTTGCAAGTGTAGCCAAGCCCTTAGTGTACATATAGTCTCATTGATTTCAGCGGAACTAATCGCATTATTGAGATTATGCACATGCTGAAGTGCTTTTTGGATTGGGCCTGATGGAGATGAGGTTAACTGTGCTTACCTGAGTGGTTAACTGTGCAACCTTAAATGTTGTTATATATATAAAAAAATTAATTCACTTTTTTCTTTTCCCCAGGAAAAATGTCAAAAGTCAGACCTCATGAGAGCATCCAGTCTCATGTGTCTTACTAGGTTAGTAGGGAGGAGCTTGTTTGAATATTTGTACACTACAAGGTACATACAGACTGCTTGATGCGCCTTACAAGATATGCCACAAATGAGGTGGGCTGCTATAAGCTCTGCCTCATTCAATACATAGCAGATGGAAATTTGTATCTTGCACACAATATTTACTTGATCCTGGACAGCTGAATTTTTTTCTTAGGCATGTAGAATAACTTTCCATTTTATTATGATCAATCCTTATGTTAGGGACATGCAAGTAAATAACTATCTGTTTTGCAAGGCTGAATTCTTAAAAGATGAACAGGGATGAGGCAGGGCTTGATGAACAGCATAAAGGACCTAAAAGAAGCACTGAGAGAGAGGCCTACAATACAGCCAATCTTTGCTCTCAGCACTGCAGATATACATAAATAATCCTACAAACTGAACTGCAGATTTACAATGTACACTGTTCCATCACATATAACTCAGTCAAATCAAAACCAATTTTCACCAGAGCACTTGAAGGTCCTTTTCCTCCACAAGGACCCTTTCCCAGCCAAATTTCAACTTCCTACCCCCATTGCTAAAGCTATGTATAACTTTAATTAAAATTCTATTTGAATTAGTAACATCAGATACAACATTATACTTTATCATGCACTTTCCATTTGTAATACTTGTCGTGTATATTATGTGTACTACTTATATGTCTGATTGTGCTGTACACAGTACATTGGTAAGTAATGTTATTTAGCCTACAAATATTAAATCAAGACTTACTGCATAAGAATGTAATTACAATCTGGCATGGCTTCTTAGGATATAATATATTAAATTGTATCTTCTTTAAGGGAAGCTTGGCATGTAACACTCATGAAATCCAACAGAAAGATCATTATTTAGGGATTCCTCAGAACCACTGTAAGCCTCATGGATAATTAAGAGGTTGTAGTTGGCTTTATTAACTTAACCTAACATTCTCTATAGGAATAAGAGGGATTCCCAAAGAAGACTAAATATAAACACTGAAGTACGCAGAAAGCCTTCCCCCGACTACAACAGGCTATGCAGTATTATAAAGACACATGTGCAGTTAGTTTTAGCACAAAGGCCTAAATTTGATGTCAGATACATGACCACAGACTCCCCAGTTACCACATAACTCATGCTGATATGTGACTAGACTCATCTAGGTTAATAATAATCTTGCAGTGTCCTCCATTCAAGTTTCAGTTATAGAGATAAATTAAGGGGCTTCATTCATGGATGGTAGTGACTTTATTATCCACTGAATTTGCTGTTAATAGCGTATAGCAAAGAACTGTTTCTGCCAGTCAAGACAAGGCTCCCTAATGATGGTGCGAGTGACTGATGTTAAACTCTGTGAATCTAGTCTCTGCGTTCTCTCGTCTGGTGCGTATAGGCCTTCTTTTGTTGGGCAGGAGATTACACTTCTTGTGGTAAACTAGTATTTCACACTTGGTAATATTTCTTTCCTGAATGTGAGAGTTTCCTGTTTCATAGCAAACACTTTCATAGTTAAAGCAATCACTTAATATATTACCTTATAACATTGGATACAGATATTATGAGTGATATTGATACATGCAGCAACTCTCAAGCATTTCATAACATCCAAACACTATACACATCTCTATAAATCTAATACCTATTTTAACAAAACGAACACACAGGTAGGCCAGACTGGTTTTCAGCTATGTCAGTGTTCAGTGAGGCCTACGGACTTTGGCATGACATGGCACCTAAACTGCCAGCATCACAACCACCACCTCACCTCACAAGGATGTTGTGAAAATAAATTCATTAGTGTTTGTGAAGCACTCTGACAGTATGCTGTTGAACCTCATACAAACACCCCGGAGGAAATTACTAATTCTGTATTAAAAGCAAGGTTTGAATAGTATGCAGTAAATAAGGCCTGGAGCCACACGCTGAACAACTGAGGATAAAACAAAATATTGAATTATACCATCCATCCTATGCTGGATGAAGCAGGGTCTGAATGAGGCAGAGGTTCTGTGTTTTGTCCACTATTTTTCCCCCCATTCTTTTAACATACTTTCTTGTGCTCTTATGTACAGCAGAGTAAGAAAAACACTCAGCTGTATCTAAAGCACTTAAGAAAATACTGTCTTTCTGTCCTTCCACATATTCTTTCAGGATGGACTTTCAAGCTATACCACATTGCAACACAGCTCCTAAACAGCCAGCAACATTTTAAACTCTGAACCCTCTAACTCTCTTGTAAATCTTTTAAATATTAGCATAAGAAACAGGCAAAGGGGATTTATTTTATTTTCCTCTTTCACTGGTAGCAAAAAAGACAGAACAAACACTGAATGGGGGGGGGGGGAAGCATACCCCCTCCCGTCACACACTTTTCCTTTCCGTGCATTTAGATTAAAACAAAATATGAAGTGCTTCATCACAAAGAATTCTGCACTTCAAATACAGTATTAATGACATTTTCTAGAGAATAATGTCAGTACCTTCTGCAAGCATCAACCTATGACTAGCATTTCAGATTCTCCACGTCTGACTCACTCCATGGGCAAGGGTCACCACCATGCCAGTACTGTTTCTTTTCCTTTAATTTTCACATTTCCCACCCCTCTCCAAGTATTTCTCCTCCTCACTGACTAGCTTTATTCCAGTCTCATCTGAAACCTGTAACTCTGAATGTCTCTCTTCCTTTACTGTTTTAATTATTTGACTCTCTTAAAGTATTGCAGTCTTCCTTTTTAAAAAAAAAAAAAAAAACCTAGCAACTTCACAGTTAAGCCTTTCTTCCAGTCCAGAGACTGGGCACATGCCTCTTTTGCTATTTGTACATGGTACCTTGTGTGGCAATGTCTATGTTTTAAGCAAGAGTGAGCAAAACACCACTGTAATGTGTGACTGGGCATAGGCCAGCAGAAAGGAAACCAAAGGCCAGGTCTAAGGTTAGACATCAGTTTTTCGATATGATGTTTTATTAGGAAATGGCGGTCAACGGTTATGCCAACTGTTGCAGAAATTGGGAAGTGGGTTAGAAATAACAACCACCACAAAACTGTAGAACCGAATAGTAGAAAGTCACAGTGTGGGAAGGTGGAAAACTTTCTGTAGTTTATGCTGTAAACTTTCAATGTTTCCAATGTTCTTGCTGTAATATTATTATTCAGTAGGTATTCTAAAGAGCCTTTATCAACATATATTTCAAAGGACCAAATTCTGGCCTCAGTTGAAGATCATGCACCTCAGAAGATAAGAGTAGGAGCCATAGGATATACTGTATTTTCAGAAGTAACCATTTATTTTGGTTTCAGAGTAGCAGCCGTGTTAGTCTGTATTTGCAAAAAGAACAGGAGTACTTGTGGCACCTTAGAGACTAACCAATTTATTTGAGCAGAAGCTTTCGTGAGTTACAGCTCACTTCATCGGATGCATTCAGTGGAAAATACAGTGGGGAGATTTATATACATAGAGAACATGAAACAATGGGTGTTACCATACACACTGTAACGAGAGTGATCACTTAAGGTGAACTATTACCAGCAGGAGAGCGGGGGAGTGAACCTTTTGTAGTGATAATCGAGGTGGCCCATTTCCAACAGTTGACAAGAATGTCTGAGGAACAGTGGGGGGTGGGAGATAAACATGGGGAAATAGTTTTACTTTGTGTAATGACCCATCCACTCCCAGTCTCTATTCAAGCCTAAGTTAATTGTATCCAGTTTGCAAATTAATTCCAATTCAGCAGTCTCTCCTTGGAGTCTGTTTCTGAAGGTTTTTTTGTTGAAGTATTGCCACTTTTAGGTCTGTAATCAAGTGACCAGAGAGATTGAAGTGTTCTCTGACTGGTTATTTTGGGTGTGTCAGCTTCTGGGTACCAATTTGAAGCACCTAGGGCCAAATCCTCAAGGTATTTAGGCTCCTAAAGTCATCATGCTCTAAACGTTCACAGCTATGAAGACTCAAAAGGTTTACATTTATTAAGCTAGTTAAGAGCAGGTTGAACAGATTTTTTTTCTTCTGACTGCAACAAACGATTTATTACAGGGGTTATAGGAGGCTGGTAAGAGAAAGGAATATGAGGCATTAGGCTACTAAATACTTTTGAGGATCTGGGGCTTAAAGCCTGATTTTTTTTTTTCAGAGATGCCAAGGACTTGGAGCTCCCGTGGGTTACTTTTGAGAAGTTTGGCTGTAATCTTTGTCTGGTACAGTCTGCCCCAGCCGGGGTTGAATTCCAAGATTTTGAGCATTCTTAAAGTAGTGGGTATTTTTAGTATACTTTTTCTATTCTTTATCTTTCTTTTAGTTCATCCTTCTTTTAGGGACGAGACGACCCATTACCTCAAAACCATTCCATTCCCTGCCCAGCTGCCTATAACTCCTTTAATAAATGGTTTGTTGAATTCAGAATAGAAAAATCCGTTCAACCTGCTGTTAACTAGAATAACAAATGTAACCTTTCGAGTCTTTATATCTGTGGACATTTAGGCATTATATCAAAACGTGTAGTTTGCAAATATACTTAGTGTGGTCACCATATTTATCATTTTCCTTTACAGTGTTTCCAAAACTTTTGTAAATTGAACCCCCTTAGAAAAATGAAATCAGTTGCATCCCCTGCAATCCCACCATGAATTCTTAATGGCTTGTCCATCTTAATCTATACATCTTCCACATTGTCCTGGCTGCTTCGGCATATACCAAAGTTTGGGAAATTTCAATCATTTGTCTGATAAAATCTGCAATGTACTGGACATCTTCCAGATATTCCAAAAGGGACAGCCCTTGTCCCAAACATCTCACAGTGCACCGTGCTGTTTTTAAATGAATTGTATGATTCTTAATGCAATGATTTATATCTATCTAGTGGTGAATTAAAGCTCACTATGGACCATATCCAGTCCAACCAAAGGGCCCTGCACTACAAATCATGCCACATCTGGCTCCCTGTCCTGCCATACTGCCTCTTGTTTCTAAGGTCATGTCTACACTACCATTTATGTCAG